TCCTTTACATATTGTTGTCTTAACAGATGTTCACTTTGGTTTGTTCTGGGTTTTTTTACCTAGTCTTCTGAGTAGATTAAGAAGCTTCATAAAATTATAATAGACTGAGTACTGTACATAGGAGCATCTGAGCTACAAAATCATCACATTTAATATTGTATGCTGACTTGGAGGTTTTGGACTTTGCAGTAGGCTCTTGCTTGACTTCCTGCACAACTTTGAACAAGAGAAGTGTCCATAATCCTACTAGCATATTGCTGCTCTTTCTGGAGTTTTCAAATTGTCTGTATAGACACAAATATTACTATTAGCGGCAAATCCAGATCAGATGCTAACTTGGGGGTTGAACTTCCCCCTCCCCTCTCCCCACCCCCCTCCTAACTGCTTTGCAAGTCTCAGATTGCCTCACTGTTGGATTTTAGTGGGGAGAGAGAAAAGGAGGCTGGCTGCTGCGTTAGTAACCCAGCCTCTTGCAGCTGATGGGAGACTGGTGGAAAAAGGGGAGTGATGGTGGTGCAGCCAAGCAGTATGTCAGAGCTAGGATCCATTTCCACCTCTGCTGCTGGGACTGCCCTCCATTTACTTCCCAACTTATAAGCTAATCATCTTGGACTCCTTTGGGAGAAAATTTTTGAATGAATGAGAAACAAATGGAGAATATTATCCTGCCAGAACTGGCATGCACTGTTAGGCTGTCTAAGGTGGCTTTTGCAGATGTGACACAGGACCTGTGCTGCTGATATGGCAGCTGGAGGGCAGGCGGGGTTCCCTCTGTCACCTAATCAGTATTAGATGCCTGTGTTGAGGCATATATATTCTCTCCAGATATATATGAATACTCTGTACGTCTTGTACCCTTTTTACTGAGACTTTCTTGGCCAATCTCCAGAAAATCTGCCAGAGCTGCTAACTTTGCAGTCCTGCCCCATCCTTGCGTCAGCTTGAGCATTTGTCTTTTCCCTCATTGAGCCAACTCAGCTCAGTAACCTGGCAGAGAAACTGACTGTCTCCCTGAGCAAGGCAGTATGTAATTACTAAGAAATATGATTAGACTAAACCTGCTCTCAGTTATGACTCCTTTCTCCTTTAAAATCTATAGAACCTCATAATTAAAGTATATTTTTATCATTAAATCCAGAAGTAACAAAACAGAAGAAAAAACACTTTTGTTCTTAAACCATCCCCTTCTGCCTCACATTCCAGAATAAAATGTCGATTCCTGAAGTGGCTCGAAACAGTTGTCTCTTCTTTGTAGTTAATGTCACTAAATTATTTTGGATGATCTCTAGCTTTCAACATAATGAAATCATCAATATTTGAGTTAAAATTGTTTGTTTTCCTGGTTTTCCATAACCACTATCAGCAGTGGTTATGGGAAGGTAAATTTGACTATCGCAGTGTTGACTGACAGAGTGATAAAAGTCTGTTCAGCCTTATATGTAAACATTTGTTCAGAGGAGCAGTGTTGAAGTAACTTATTTTTTTTAAAAGGGCTTTCTTTTTGGATCTGCTAAAAATGCATTTATTACAAAATAATTGTGTCTGTATATACGATAGCTTATTGCTTGCCAGTTACATTCTTTTATATTCTTAGTGTGTAGCAAAGTCCTTTTTGCCTTTTTTTTTTTTTTTTTCCTGGAAAGCTTTACTTGTCTTGCATTATTATAGAGCTTGTGCTGCCTTAGGTGAGTAAGTTAGATGCTAGATGTTTCTCTGTTTTCTTACATCTTTACTTCAGAGATGCCATGTCAGTGGTACTTCAGATATTCAGGGACCACAGCTTGGTTGAGTCAGGCCCAGTGTTAATGAATAAACCAGGAGGTACCGATGACATTTCAAATACCAAACTAAGTTCACAGCAGTATCAGTCAGAAAGGTACTTTTCAGCTTTTAAATTGTGTAACTTGGAGTATATCAGATTTGCACAGAATGTGTTATGTGGGCACAACATTACTTGTTTTAATGAATCTAACTTAGTTCTCATTTTTAAGTGTCTGATCATGTTAAATGAACTGTTGCTGAAGAGCAGGTTGTTATGAAAAGTGGGTGAAGCAATTTGACGACATCTGAAAATGTCAAACTGAATTTCTGATTTCTTCCTTTCCTTGTGCCTTCCACATTAATTACAAGTTTAGCTTTTTTTTTTTATTAGATAGCAAACAATAAGGATGCATTGAGAAAGACTTGGAACCCCAAATTCACGTTAAGAAGTCATTTTGATGGAATAAGAGGTCTCGCTTTTCATCCAGTTGAACCAGTCTTAATAACAGCTTCAGAGGACCATACATTAAAAATGTGGAATTTACAAAAAACAGCCCCAGCAAAAAAGTAAGATTTTTTCTTTGTTTAAAAATATTTTTTCATTTATGAAGAGAAAAATAAAAATAATTGTAGATGCCACTTCACTGGATGGCCCTTGAATTAGTGTAAATTATTCCTTGAATTTAAGAGTAGGAAAACAAACTCTTAGAGAAGGATGGAGACTTTTAAAGAGTGCCAGAAGAAATCCAGGTGTGTTCGTGAATGCGTTCTGTTTGTAAAAATGAAAACCATTCACTTTTTAATATCTTCCTTATAGAGAACATGTCAAATTAATTTACTAGTGAAAATATTTGCTTGTGGCCTGTTAGTGTGCTTACATGTGTATATAAATGTATACAAATGCATTTATATATATATGCATACACAAGTATGCATATACACGAGAACAGCTTTAAACTTTGACTGAGATGTTGCTGGGTTCCTATGTACTCTCTTGTGTGTTGCTGGGGATTTGCAGAAATGAGAGCAAGTTCTTAGCAGAGCCAATGTAATCAGGGAACACATCGTACCTTTTGGGAGCACTGGGCAAAGCGTGGGGTCTTCCCGCAGTCTGTAACAAGCACCGGACTGGTAAAGTCCAAAGCAGGAGTTTTTGAAGTGGTTTATAACTGTGCTACAGGATTGATATAAAAACAAGGTGTCATAAGCTCCTTTGCTCTGGTAGGGATTGGAAATGCTTCCTGATATATCCCATGTGATACTGATGGCCCTCTGCTCCTTCCCCACCGTTAGTGTACCTGCCTACTGGTTTGATTGGTGTGTGAGAGCTCATGGACTCTCTACCTTAGAGGTCTTTAAGAAAAAAAGCAAACTGAGTAAACAGATCCCAACGTATTTTGAAAGAATGCAAAGAATTCCTAGACATATGGAAAATCATGTTGGGTGAGGAAGTTGTGGGATAATCATTTCAAAAGATGTAGTAGTGATTTTAAGAATTTGGCAATTCTGCCACATTTTTGTGAATCATTGCGTAAGATTGTATACATGTTAACATTTTCTTGTGCTTCATTTAGGAGTGCTTCTCTTGATGTAGAGCCAATATATACCTTCAGAGCACATAAGTGAGTATTTCCTGAGAAACATTGTTATATTTTGAGAAATACATGTTTTTTAAGCAGATACTGAATTTTTTTGAAAAAGTAATTTCTACCTTTTTATCTAGTGATTTTATGTGATGCTTTTAGTTCCCGTGTTATTTAAAATATCTGCAAATGTTCATCTTCTTTCTGCATAATTATTTATGTATGGAGCTAGGTACACCACAGTTTTAAAAAGAAAAACCTACAAATTATACAGTTCAAATTCAATTAGCTCTTTTGTTGATCACTGCAGCTTTTGCCTTTTTGTCAGATACGTTAATCTGTAGAATGAAACTGTTTGCAGTGGGTTTAAATTTACTGAATTGATTTCATGAAAGAGCCTTAGATCTTTAAAAAAAAAAAAAAGAGAAAAAAGCTGTTTATGACAATTAACGAAACCTGTAGTTTAAAAGCGTGACACTTTTCGTATTTCATGTGCACAATGACTAAATTGTCCTGATTGTAGTTATGTTACCAAATATTGTGGAGGATTTTTTGTGGGAAGTGGTGTAGCATATGATCTGACTGTGCAAATTTTTTGTTGCAGTCCACGCAGCAAGTCAATTGTATCTAACAGGGAAACTTGAAGATTCCATTGGCATTGTTTTTCACATAATGAAAATGTTAATAGTCAACGTTTCTTTTTTTGGGGGGGTGTTTCTTCTAGTGGACCAGTGCTCTGTGTGGTGATGAGCAGTAGTGGTGAACAGTGTTACAGTGGGGGAGCAGATGGCCTCATCCATGGCTGGAATATAACCAACCCCAACATCGACCCCTATGACTCTTACGGTATGTTGTTGTCGTACACACCAGTGAAATGATACATTTAGTGACATTAATGTTATGTTGTTAATATAGTATAATTTCGAAGTAATGCTTCTTTGAAAATCTAAAAGAGAAAATTGGATGTTGGCTTCAATTACTTTAAGTAAATTTTTTGTTTTAATGCTGATGCTGGTTGATGAGAAAATGAAATTTGTAATTTTCTTAAAAAAGGCCTTGATCTCACCACAGTTTTGAGAAACACTAGGTTGAAAAAGTGCAGGACTAAACCTGATACTTGGCAAGTACAGCAAATGTGTATTTTAATGTTCTTTTCTTCAACAAACCTCTGTGCAGTTGAGATAAAAAGAAGTTGTATAGTCTGAGACCAAAGCTGTTAATGTTGTCTGCGAACAGCTAAAAAGGCCCAGTTCAATAAGGTTTACCAGACCTGAATGGATGTCAGCCTGTGTCTCTCTCTTAAAATATTTTTCACTTCTTGCAGCTTCAGATGTGGTTGACCTCAAAGCTGGCTTTTGGAAAAAAGGGACTGATGTGCTATTAATGGTTGTTTGAGAGTGAATTTTAAAATCAAAGTGTATTTTGCTAATTTTGCTACTGTCCCTTCTACTGAAACATTTTGTTTGATTAGTTGTAAACTGGGTAACTGGTTGCCACATATACCAATGAAATTCAAGTATCTTCATACAAGAACAATTGAGACTCCTATATTGATAGGACCTGATTGGTCTCAATTTTTTTTTATGGATTAGCTTCTTAAGGTTGGTCCATAAACATAGCCCAATATAACTATTGACTTAATTCAGTTTTGTTTTGAAATGTGGTTTGTTGTGTTTTGTTTGCAGATCCTTCTGTTCTAAGAGGTGCTTTTGTAGGCCATACAGATGCAGTGTGGGGTCTGGTTTACAGCGGAGCACACCAGCGTTTGCTGTCCTGTTCAGCAGACGGCACTATACGTCTCTGGAAAGCTACAGAAATTGCTCCAGCTCTCAATATATTTAATGATAATCAAGGTATAGAAAATTGCTCTACCTTTAAGTTTACAAGCATCACTGTTCAGACTGCCATCATTTTGGCTACTGAATACAAATCCTTCTTGTTTGTTTTGCTGGATTTTATATCTTTATGAATGTTTTGGGGAAGAGTAGATTTTGGGTCCTTTCTCCTTTGATGCTAGCCGAATAGTTATCTACACACAGAGGGACAATCACATTCCTCTAAAAGCCAGCTGCTGTAGACCATCTCTACTAGAACCGTGGAGTCTAATGTATCACCTCCATAGTTCAGATTCAGACCGAGTTTCCATTTAGGCCCTTGCTTTTGGTTTGTCCAGAATAAAAAGCCCTTTCTTCCCCCAAGAGAGGTTTGGAGTAGCCAGTGCCATTGTACCTTCCAAAAGATGTTCCTTGTGCCTCTAACACAGATATTCCAGTTGAATTTCTGAGTTTGCACATTAACTGAATAGCAATAGGGCATTCTTAACACTGCTAGTTGAAAAAAATGACTCCTTTGGATTGATTTACTGAAATGTCATGCACAAATCAAAATCATACTGTTTAGAGCCTAATTTCTTGCTATTTGAGTAAGAGCTCTAGAATGCGCCTGTTGACATTGCCAAACTCTCTTAGAGCTGATGGTCCTAAAGGCAACCCATGAATCAAGACAGTTCTTTGGCTCTTCAGAACAGCTTTGAGGCAAAATAAACTTTGGCATAATTGAACAGATTTCTCGAATTATAGTGTAAAGCTGGTCAAATCTGCCATTACTGGCTAGTTAAAATAGACTGAGCAAAATAAAAATGTTTCATGTGTTTTAGTTCTTGCAGAGCTATGTTTCCAAAAGTCTGCAGGGTTGTGTGAAAAACATAACTGGTTTGCTGCCAGCTTGCTTACATGTCTACTTTGAAAACTTCCTGGTAATGGTTTCTTTGTTTGGGCTTGTTCGGGGTTTTTTTTTTGTTTTAATTATTAAATTAAAGGAGAAAGGGGAGTAGTCTTACTTCACAGAGCTAGTCTTTGGGTATTTTTATATTCCAAACTGGAATGAAACCCAGTTGTGAAATTCAAAGATTCTCCTTTGAAACTGACTTTTCCTATGACTTATTGAGAACCTTGAACAAGCTGTCTAAAATATCTGTCAGTCGTAATTTAAATTCTTCAGATTAACCATTGTAGGCTTACCAGGAAGCTGCAGATAAGCAGGCATGGCAGTGGTAGAAAAGGTCACTTCAGAAACAATACATGTTTTCTTCTCACACCAATCCTTTCTGGCTTTTTTGAAGTACCTGTAGATAAGTACCAACATTCCTGAGTTTATGTGTCCAAGAAAGATGTTTTTCCCATGAATCTTAGGTTTAGAGAGAGGTGATGATATTCCTGCTTTATCTGGATCTGTGGACATTCAGTTGCTTAACATTCAGTGTCTCACTCTCTACCTCTTCCTCCTCCTCCTGGCATCTGTTGCAGCTGGTGTTGTTCTTTCACATAGCAAGTGAACAGGTCGTTGGAGGAGAAAAATTCTACGGGATGTTTCCTATACACAAGCTCTGCTGATTGAGCCTTCTGTCCTGTAGAATTCAGATAGCTACAGTGTAAGGAGATCAGATGTACACCATAATAGGCAGGATGGATGAAGCTTTGTATTATGAGTTTGTAATATATTTGTGTAACTTTCCATACTGACAGTGTCAGTATAAAAAATTTGCACTTGGAAAGCTTTGGGGTTTTTGGTTGGGTTTTTGTTTGTTTGTTTGTTTGTTTTTTTAAAAAACAAAAAAAAGCTCTGAATTTGCCCAGGCTAATAATAACATTAATCATGTGTCAGGTAAATTATTTTATCACTTAAATTTTATGTCCTTTTATTTAATGCAATGGAGGTTTGTTTGAGAATTGTTCTTACAGTTAAAGTAAGAACTCCCTACCCCCTTTTCCTTCCTTTCTTAATTTAAAAATAGATTTCTATCCAGCCTCAGTTTCAGCATCTTAGTAAAGAATGTTGATAGGCACATTAGAAAAATAAAATTAAAATGATGATCATACAGGGCAATCTATTTATACTGACGTAATGTAGATTTTAAAATCTAACATTTCTTTTCATAATCATGGCCCTTTTTATATTAAAGTGCTTACTGGTTTTTTGTTGTTGTTCTTGGTTTTTGGGTTTTTTTAAATTTTCTTTACACCAACTAAATCTTATGAAAATGTTCTCTACATTGCTTTCTAGAAATGGGAATCCCTTCATCAGTAGATCTTGTGAGCAGTGACCCAAGCCTCATGGTAGCATCATTTAACAGTGGACATACTAGCATTTTTAACATGGAGACACGGCAACGAATTCTTACCCTGGAGTCCAGTATGGATACCAGTATGTATCAAAAAAACCCTGCAAAATCAAAAAAATGTTTAAGATTGATACTGTTGATAGTCTCTTCAGTGTTTCCAAACAATTAGGCAGTATCATGGTAAATTATAACATGAATTATGTTACAAGCTCTGTTTTGAGACGTGACAGTAAATTATTGCTACTTCAGTAGACCTCATGGGTATTTCAGTAGCAGAAGAGTGCACGTAATTTTGCAAGAAGGTAAAAGAAACAAACCCACACTATCCAAATTCCTTCTCAAAGAACAGTAGCACAAGGAAAAGCACAGGTTTCTTTAGTACAGCCCAATGATCTTTGCACCTCCAGGATTTCCATTCTCTCTTCAGTTCAGAATTGCAAGAGAAAGGTAATATCAGGAACTTATTAAAAATCTGGGACTGTGTTTGGGTTCTTTTCTATTTTTTCCTCGGAAGTATCCCTTTTCTATGTTTTATATATATTCTTGGCTCATTTGCTATTGGACTCCAGTTAAAGTTTCCACTGTAGGACAAAAGCAAAGCTTTTCAGTGGAAGAGTATTCACAAGGTCCCATATAATGCCTTGGATCATGGCCGTGGCCAGTATCAGAAGTTTTAGAGGAAACTGTAAGGAGACTGCTATCAGTAAATTATTTTACCATGGCATTAGGAAAGAGACCAGAATGAGCTGAAGCATGAGGTTTCATATTCAGGCCAAAATGGTAACCTGATAACAGTAGAAACATTGAGTCTTTTAAAAATTTTTATAATTTTTTCCCCTAAAAGTTTTATGTCACTGAATTTTTCTATATAATTCTATTTTTAAAAGAGAGTAAGGCCTTCTTGTTGGCTTTGCTTGTCTGTTTTAAAATAGTTAAACAACTGTTATTTTATAAGAGGGATTGGAAAGTACCATCTTCCTTCTTTATATTATTCCTTGCTCTGCAGGATTTCTTTTTTTAACCCACATCTTTGTTACTGTCTGACAAAATAGTCCTAAATCAGTTCTCTCTGCTCAGTGAAAGTTACCTTTCTTCTTTTTTCTCTTCTTTTTTTTCCCCCTTCCATTTTTTTTTTTTTTCACTACCTCCTCCTTACTGTAATTCAGTAATATTCCTTTAAGAAAATGAGACTGTGGTATGGCAACCAGCAGTCCCTGTTTAGTATTTCTAGTTATGTAACAGTACTATAAAGCTTACATGTATTTACAAAATATGTAATTATTTCTACAAGAACTAGGCAAGAGGAAAATGAGTCACCTGAAATACCCTACCACCTCCACTTAGGGACTCCACTGTTCAGTATAAGCTTCACTCTGTTTGGCGTTTTAAAACTGTGAGGATAACTGGCTCACAGTGGTGAGTGTCATGTGCTTTTAGTAATTTTAGGGAGGTTTATTAGTATGAATGTGTTTTTTCCTTAACTTGCACTTTCTTAATTTTTAGGTGTCCTGTGGATACTGACACTACTTGACAGTTCAGATTTTTATAGAAAGATGTAGATTGAAGTCTTTGCCATCTTAGTAGCAAATGATCCTATGGTAGTATTCTGGTTTGTTTATTTTAGTAATAATTTGATTAGATGATGTGAATGTTCTTTGGCAGCAGTTTAACTAAATACAATTACTCCTACATGAAAGAAGATAACTGTATTTTGATGTTCTATGGAGTGGCTATTTGTGTTTTTCTGGTAATCTATGCCTCTTAAAACCATTCTTGCACTAGTTGGTGCACCACAGCAGTGCTTAGATTTCTAATCAAAAAACTCCTATGCTTTTTTGTGTGTGTGGAGATAGATATCTATATATATAGATATATATATATGATATATCAAGATTCCTAAAGGCTAGGAAAATGGCTCTCCTGTGACTAATCTAGCATCCTTTTCTTCAGTAAGAATTTTAATCCATGTATATCAAATAATAATAGGTGGGTTTTGCTCTGTGAAGGTGAAGGCATGGGATCTTGTTTGCTTGGAAACCCACTGACTGCAATGTTAGTTTTCCTGTACTCTCTGTATGTTATAAAGGAAGTTTGGCTTGACAAGAGGAGGACTGTTGAGGTGTGGAAGTGCTTCACATTCTTGCCTGATGCACCCATCTAAAACCATGGCCAAAAGCTGGACCTTATATGTTTGTATTTACACTCATACATATGGCCTCTGCGTGTGTGTAATTTGGAAAATATTTTACAGTAAACCACATTACATAAGCTGCTAGTTGAGAGTTTCCATTATATAAAGGAATTATTTTGCAAATAAGTTTGATTACATATTTACTTCTTAGTAGCAGTCTTTCAAATAACTTAGCAATTTACATGTATTGATATGTGTGGGTTTTTTCTTAGCAGTAAGTTCCTCCTGTCAGATAAACAGAGTCATCAGCCATCCAACTCTTCCAATTAGTATCACTGCTCATGAAGACAGACACATCAAATTCTACGACAACAATACAGGTATGCATCTTTTCAGTAGGTCATAGTCACAGCAGTTGTAGAACATAAAACATAAACGGAATTTAATTATGATTAATATTATTCACACAAATGCTAAGGGATATCAAGAACTGGATATCCTCTGCAGAAATCTCTCAGCATTAGTAGAGCCCAAAGATTGCCAGCCCACTTAAAACTTTATTGGCACAGTGATAAGGAACCTGCATCATTCTCTGTCCAGTCTTTTAAAATGCCTTATGTATGGGGATTATCAATATTTAACACAAAAGGAACCTTTTTCAAAATCTTTATGTGCTTATGTTCAAGTTTCTTCTGTTATGTTGTCTGTGTTATTTTGATCTGAGGACAGGAAGCTCTGGCACTTCTTTAGTGCTGCCAAGACCTCTGCCTGATGGCTTGGAGGTAGAAATTCCCTTGTAGGCATAATTCTCAATTTGATCCACTGTATTTCTCCAAATCTCTCACTTCTGCAGAAAAAGCTGGACATCTTATAATACTTTTTCTAATCTATAGTGAGAGAGGGTCCCACTGAGATGTGTAATTATAAATCTCTTAGGTTTTAAAGGACTTTTTGATAGGAATGGTAGTATTAATCTGGTATTCTGACTGTGAATCTTTATAATCTTCAGTTTGTGGCTTCTCTGCTTCCAGGTCACACTGTCTTAAAAGTTAAATTGAGAACTTTCAATATTCTTGTTGATTTTGAGTTTGCTACTTCCTATATGAACATTAAATAAGAAGAGGTGAAGGAGACCCAACGGAAGCTGAGGAAAAAGCTGAAAATAGCTGATTTGTTTGATGATGTGGTTCTGTAATTAAAAAGTAGAGGAAACAACTACTCATTTTTTTTCTGTTTTACTATATTCTGCAACAAAAAAAACTCCACACTTGCCCCATGATTTCTTATTTTTAACATGAAATCATTACTGTAACTATAATGAAATTTAATAGAACATTAGTTCTCTCCGAGTTGTGTAAAATTATCCCATATTCTTAGTAGTTTATATTAATTGCTTATTAGGATGCTCAACTCCTGTCCTCCTTCCTGGTTGAGGTCTTATTCCTGAACTCACTTAATACACTTAAGGGGCAGATATTTAAAATGCACAATGATTGCAGCTTCATGGTGCTTTTGCAGACATAAGACAAAGGTCTAACAAAGTTGGTGATAATGGTACTGTGGCTCTCCTGAGACTGTAAACATTAAAAGAATGACTTCTTGCATAATTTTAATGATTCAATTGTGGGACAAGATCTTGTACTTATAATATGAGCTGTGGTAAGGTTGAAGCAATAAATACAGATAATGAAGTGAATTGCAGAAAGTAACCTCAATAAATCTTTTTTTCTTTTTTTCTTTTTTTTTTTTTTTTTTTAAAGGAAAACTGATCCACTCCATGGTAGCTCACTTAGATGCAGTTACAAGCTTAGCTGTTGATCCTAATGGCTTGTATTTGATGTCTGGCAGTAAGTACATTCAGATTTTGTTTTCTTTTTCTCATAATGGTGACAGACATGAGAATTATAAAGAAAACTGTTCCCCTTTCTTTAGGTCATGACTGTTCGATTCGCTTGTGGAATCTTGAAAGCAAGACCTGCATCCAAGAATTTACTGCTCATCGCAAAAAATTTGATGAGTCCATTCATGATGTGGCATTCCACCCCTCCAAATGTTATATTGCCAGTGCAGGAGCAGATGCCCTGGCTAAAGTGTTTGTATGACAGAGTGCTTCCCTATCAACTCTAGCTTTGTATATATTTAACCAGCTGCACAAAAGAGAAGAGGAGGGCCTATCCTGCCCTATAATTCAGAGAATGTTTGTGTTTAGTTTTGCAGGGTGCTGTTTTCTAAATTGATGTTTGTTTTGGTTTCTGTGAGCTCAGCTGGTGCTGAGAGCTTGGAAACTCTCAGTTTCAAATAGTTAAAAAAACAAAAGAAATGCTTTTATTTCAGAGGATGTGAATTTTCGTCCAGGCAGGCCTTGGGTGAAACTAGGTCTATGTATTCTCTATTCATAAAATGGAGTACTGGAAAGAGGGTCTAATTGCATCAGGGAGTAGGAAAAGAGGGAAACTTCCTAGGATGCTTCTCAATGAAGAATCTTCATGTACTTAAAATTGAATCACCCGGAAAAAGTGAAAGTTCATGTGGTCATTACTGTGCTGTGTGAGAAGCACTTTGTCATCCCTTTGGTATTAGTAAAGTAGATCTTGTTCAGTGAGCAGTAGTGGATAGTTAATCTCAGTCACCTGGCTGCTAGCCTAAGATAAATGCAATTAAAGGAAAGCAAATTACTAACATAAATGAAAATACAGTAAAGTTTTTGTTACATCATTCTGTGTTATACAGTAAATATTTAGTTTGCAAAAAAAATTATATAATTTTTTAAACTGTATTAGCATGTGGCTAGAAGCTGAGCCTTTAGTCTAGTCCCAGTTAACAACAGACTGAAGCAGTCTGTATATACTGTAGTAGCAGATTTAACTTATTCAGATTTATAATGCTGTTTATTCTTAGAGATCTGGCACGAGAAATTATCACAAAGATTTCCAAAGAAGCTGTCCTACAATTTAACTATCAAACATTCATCTTCTCTTTCTGTTCCTGCTAAAAAGGGTATTGTTTTGGGCATTAAGCATAACAGTGAAATACTTCTTTGGAAGATTAAACCTATACCTGGTGCATTGTATGAGGCCTACCAGTGCAATAGGTGGGAACTATTACAAAGTTCAGTCAGTTTGAGAGCTTCTGCTGTTTCTAGAGGTATTTCTCAGCTTCACCATTTGTGGAACTTTTAAACTTGTCCACTTTACTGGGCGTATTGTGCCATTGATTGGGTTACCTGAAGAACGAGTACTTCTTGTAATTACTCAACAGATATGCTTTGTTTATCTATTCAGAGCTTCTCTGTTGATTTGAATGACAAATAACTTTTAATCCAATCTCTTAGTCTTTTTATCCCTTCTTAAAGGAAGGTGTGTGGATTCTGTTCTATTCTGTGTCATCATCAGGGTTGTTACTGCTCATAAGACTGAAGATGGTGTTTTCCTCTGATGAGAATGGAAAGCAGAATTTCTGCCGGGGGTGATTTCTGGTGCTGATGTGAGTAGGAAAGAACCCAATGCAACTCTTCCCATACCAGCCTGAGGTTAAGACTGGAAACTGATAAATAAATCTTTACCTTTAAACTGACACTTTTTGAAAAGGAATCATTGAAAGATATCAACGTAGGGTTTGACTGTGTTGTTTTTACTGTGGCGTTTGGGGGTGGGACCATATTTGAAGCTGATCTCAGAGTTTAGATCAATTACGTTATTTAGAATAAAAGGTTGACCTGTGCTGATTGAGCCTGCAACACATTATATTTACTGCTAAAATACCCTGGAATATCTTTTATTGCTTTTATTCAGACATGTCACTTCATGATATTGATATGCAATATATTTCCATAGATAAGATTAGAACTTTTACCATGAAACAGATGACTACAATAGTAATTCAGATTATTTAGTTTTTATAAAGGGGGAAACTTGGCTGCAAAACTGAGCATTCAACTTTGTGAGAGTTCAGTGTACTTGACTCATATTCTTTCAGTGTCATTATTTTATTTCTTTTTGAAGAGGAAATTACAAAGATTTATTTGAAAAATTCTAAAAGTTATGTATATTATATGTGTGTATATATATTGTAAACATGTATTAAATGTGTCTAGTAAGGGAAGACTCAATGGGTGCGTTTTAATGTTTTCGTATTAAGAGTTCTCGAGTTTGTGTATACAAAGGATAATGGTGTGAGTATGAAATGAATGTTGTGCTTTCGCTTACACAATACAATATGTATTTACAGTTGTTTAAATTGCTGTACATAAAACTAATAGGCCGGCATGCTTATTTTTAAAGACTGTAATTCTGATTACAATGAGAATGTAAGTGGCTGTTCAAATGTGAATTGAAAGATGTTTCCTTCTCACTATTGAGCTCTTACTCAAACTGAAAAGTGATTTTTTTTTTAAAAAAAAGCTGGCAATAGCTAGAGGATGAGGTGCCTTTAAAAAAAACAAAACAAAAAGCAAACAACAAAATGAAACAAATGTAGCCTTACAAAGAGGTTGTGGAGTATATATATTTTTGTGCTGGTCTTCATAATTGATGTCAATGTCTTTTTACTGTACTTGCTCACATACTTGTAGGACTGCGGAGTATTGTGCATGAGCCTGTCAGATCTTCTGAACATCATCATAGGAGTTAGGGATGAAAAAATTATTTAGGTTATCTAGTCCATCTGCTTGCTAAAGCAGAATTGTAGACTTGTGCATTTTAATATTGTCTTGGACAGTGAGGTTTTATGTATGTTCTAAACAATTAGGCTTCCTTTCGAAGATTGTTTCAATGATTACGTCTCACTGACAGGAGGATTTACATGATGTTTAGTAGTTTTGTAACTTCATGCCAGTATTCCAAGCCTTATTTTGTGCCATTTTACGTATTCTTTGTCATCTTTGTAATTTAGCATCTGCATGCATGCACTGGTTTTAGCTGTATATTTCCATTCCTTTCCACTTCCTTCAACCCATTTTTCAGTCTCCTCTTTTTACACAACTTTTTCTCATTTTTAGCTTTTCAGCTCAGTTCTTCATATCTTGGTGCCCACAACATCTTTCCACATGCATGATTTGTTGTATTTAGTCTGAAGGTCATCTGTTAAATGTGTTTTTTGGTTGGTTGTTTTTTCTCCTCTAACGTGATGCTGTTGTGTAGGAAGACCAAACTTTTGGTTTTCTGGCTAGTTTCTCACAAACCCAAATCTATTTCTTTGTTTCTAACAACTGTTTAAAGTAACTTGGACCATTGTTACTTCTCAAATTTCTTCTTCATTTTCTGTATGTTGTTATGATTCTTTTGCAGCTAGATACTTAATTCCCGTTTCATGATTATCCTGGGTTTTATAAGCTTTGGTCTTCTGATCTCTGAGGGCACTAAATTATTTTTATTTTTCCCTTTTATGTGCAGTTCTTCCCGGTTCAATGTCATTGGTAACTTTCATGAATGTGATACATACATCTATTGAAGATGTAAACGAAACTGGACCTAAAGCTTATTTGTGCCAAAAAGCATTTTTGTGTGACGTCAGCGTATGGCATTTTACCCTTACTAATTTTACTGTATCTTATTTACATGGTACATTTTTTAGTGGTTAATTCATATAAATTTTTTTGTGTATGTTTAGCCTGTGCTACTGATTTTGGTTTTACTAATTTAATGGGAGAATTTTCAGTCCTTCCATATGTTGAAAATTGGTCTGCTAGGTTTAAATATTCTCATTTTTACTTCTAATTTACTTCACTGTGCTGTTTGCTTTCACATATTTGATTCAGTTACCAAAATGCTTGCACAGAATGATTTGGAGTAGCCAGGGAGAAGCTGGATAAGCTAGATAAAGAAGCTAGATAAAATTGTAATTTTATATATTTTATAATTTTATCTAGCTAGAAGCTAGATAAAATTATATTGTGGGAAACATTTTCTTCGCTCTTAGAAAATCCTAGTGTCTTTACCACTTAAAAGATCTTTTTACGTGTAAGAAAATCACCTGATGAATACTTTGGGATCTCATTCATCTTTATTTTGATAAAATATGTTCTTTACCAAGAAGCCTGTAGATCTATATGCCACGTACTGTAGGATATTTTTTAGGCCATATGTTTTCAAATAATGTTATGTTAAAGCAGTCCCATATGTGATATGTTTGAGTAAGTGTGTGATGTTCACCGTACAGCTTTGCAATTAGGTAATACAACACCATTTTGCAGTTGTGAATTTAAAGTAACCAGAAACTTGTCCTTTTGAATAAATGTGTAAGAGATAAAGGACTTAGTTACACTACCTATTTCAGTATACCTGTTTGATCATACATGTGTCACCTTTTCCTACCTCCTTCCTCACGTTTTAACAATGTAATTTTGGGGAGCAGCAATTTCCATAAATTGACGTGTCATTTAAGCAGTGTTTGATTGGCAAAAGTATTAGTCTATCCCAAAGGAAAGAAAAAATTTAAAAACGGGCATAACCATCAGATAAGCAAGTTTTTGAGTTTTTTTTAATGCCTTTCAAGAGGTATATTTGGAAGCGTCTACAGGCTGTGGCTTGACAGTGTCTTTGCAGACTGTCCTAGGAAGCCTACTTGACACCTGTGTGAATATCTAGTAAACCTAGTAAAACCTTGTAATGCAGGTTGAGTTAAGGAAGAAAATGCAGCCATTGTGGTTGTCCCTGTGCCTGTACAAGTGACTGTAGCAGTGTTCTCCTTCGAGTCCTATTTGCTGAAGGATCAGGTTTGCAATCTAACATGAGTAATTTCTGCAGGGTGAGAGTATCTGCAAGTGACGTTATTAGTATTTTTATTTTGCAGATCTGTAGGCAGCAGTCATTTGGATTGTGTGCTGAACAGCAAGGCAAGCAGAGAGTCCATTTGCTGAACTCTGTAGGGTTAGACAGTAGGTTAAATGGCTGGAACCAATGTGCCCTCCATGTGACTGGTGTCATCTTGGGAGAACTGGGCTGGGGAACAGTGCAGCATTTAGCCTGATGGTATCACAAAGGAAAATATTTCCTTCACAAAGGAAAATATTAAAAGGTTGGAGTGGCAAGTTTAGCAAGGCTTTCCCATAGTGTTTCTTCAGATTTATTTATTTGTCCATTGGTTGCAGGTTGTATGAAGGATAAAATCTACTATATATCCAGATTCCAAATTCCAACTTGTACACTCTTCTGTCAAAGTAAATGGTGGAGATTGTTCAGATTTCAAAACTATGTTGCCTTAGATGAGGAAAAGGCAGATTTGTAATAGGTTGTTACTTAAATCCTAAGAAGAGAACTTACTCTTCTGCTAACATAGTTTTCATGATGGTGAGACAGTTATGCAAATATAAATTCCTCAGACACTGTAGTGGGACTTCTCTTTTGCTTCCGGGTAAACATTTATTTAAAACCAAAATTGCAAGACTAAGACTTTGTCTCATGATATCTGTTGTGTTGAACCAAAGTCACAAAATCTGGGAAACTTTGTAGGGACTAAAAAAGTAGAATTTTAGACTTGTTTCTCATTTTTCTTTTCCTTTTCTTTTTTCTTCAATCATAATCTACATATTTAATATATATTACATAGTGTCATTTGTATGACTCGCTTCACATTACATAGCCCATTCTGTACAAAATACTCCTTCGGTGCTTTCTCATACAAACAAGATGTGAATGAGACCAGTGGTTCCAGGTAATTACATACCATTCTGTGTATCTCTTTCAGCTTTCTAATGGGTGAGCTGATAAGATTCATGGAAATAACTGTGAAAACATGATGCTGCTTATAATACAGCATTTAAAAACATTCTGCAATTTGTGTCTGTTTAGTGGGAATTGTTTTGGATTACACTGTTAAGAATTAAGAAATCAGAATATTGTATATGGAAAATTGGTTTGTATAAGATGTTGCTATCTTTGACATGGTAATTTGAGTTTTCTTGGGCATCTACTGTTGGTGAGGGTCATAGGGATGCTCAGCGTAGCTGTTAGTATTGAGTGATAGAGAGGAAGCAAAGATTTCCCTGA